TCAAGGCGGGCGAAAAAAACGATGCGGGCGGGGACGCGAAACATGTTTTTTTTTTTACTTGGCCTTATGCATTAATTACGATTCTGTGCACCTAGCCTAGTATTTTCCTAGTGATTTTTCCACACAAATTTGTGATGGGTTTTTGAGGTATCATCATAAGCACATTGTGCAATTTAACACTACCTAGGACTATATACTAGGCCTACTACTAGTACTTAAACTAGGTCTGGGCAGGCCTACCTAGGCAAGACCTAGCTAGGCTAACTAAGGACTAGCCATGTATGATAGGCCTAGCTAGTCCTATCTAAAACCGGTCCATCTGATGACGATGGTGCATCAATTTAAAAGTAAAACTGCCATGTCGAAAAATGCTAGCGCAGGATAGACCTAGTACTGGAAAAACAGCGACAATAATTGCACTCCGATCTAGCCTAGACCTACAACAAGCTAATAAGGTAAGCTAGGCCCTAGGCCTAGCTTACTACTAGTACTACTACTAGGGCCTAGGCCTACGCCTGGTGGAAGTACGACGGGCCATACCGAAGCGAAGATTCAATCGAAGAAGCCGGTTAACATTTTAGCCTAGGGAATGGCTATTAGTTGATATAAGTTGTAATTCTATTTATTTCTAAATATAAAAGTTTCAATATTAAACATTAAACTACTACATTTAACGCATAATAACTTACAACTGCTGGTTGTAAAGAAAGTTTTGAGAGTATTTTCGCCGCTCGTGCAATCTTGGAGGCCATTTTGACTAAGAGTGAACTACTTGTCTGGCGAAAAATTGAAAATGGCTTTGAAAACAACGAGCAACCGCGTGAGAGGAGGTGGGGGAGGGGGGTATGTATGAAATATAAATATATTTGTGGCTGTTTCAATGTATTTGAAGAAATCAGAAAAACCAGGGCATGCCTGTTTTTCTTTTTAATATGACTATACCGCCATTTGCATAACTATTTCTTATGTATAAACGGATGACAGTTTTGAAATGGGAAAGGCGGGGGACATGGGCAAAAGCCTCGAAGGTGAAGCAAACTCAATGCTTAAGTGAGGAGGTGCCCGCTCGCTTAATAAAGGTGATTTTTAACTACTTGAGTGTGTTTATTTTGCTACGAACATTTTGAATGATGGAGGTCGTGCGGCATTTTTGGGGAGGGCACACCGCTATAGTCGCACCACCAGACACGCCACTTAAATTCGCTTTGGAAAAATTATTGATGACATCGTCTGTTTATTCATTACCAATGCTCAAGTTTGTATGGAGAATTCCAGAAGAAACCTTCACTGTCTTTTACCAAACTACCAAAGCAATTTCTCTCCCATCTTGCCAAACAAAAAATTCACAATTTTTTTCTTTTTAATCTGAAATTTTTTTTCGACCTGCTTTACACCTCAATAGTGTACCTGCAGCATAGTTGCCTTCCTCAAGAGAGAAGAGTATTTTGGTAATTTTGGGATAACAATAACAAACTAAAAATTCAAATAAAAGTTTCCCGACAAAATTTTTATTTATTCCTTTATATCACAATAAAAATAGACAATCCAATGGTAAAAATAACCATTTTTGATAGAGCAGATTAATATACTATAAATGCATTTGCAAATTTTTCAACATATTTAAAAAGTCAACTTGGACTTGAGAAAGCTTATTAGATTTAGAACTAGATACATAACCCAAAAGCAATGGAATAAGATGAGGTGACGTGGCACTGGCAGCGGCAGGAATAAAATTATATAAGCATTTTTTGGTGGGAGCAAATAGACTGAAAATGATGGGGATCCATGGTGTCAAGTAAAATAAGCACTAGGGAAAGCAATGCTTATAGCGTCATGCAGCTAGGAAACGCCTAGAGAATCAAAACTGTTTGCAAACAGTAATATCACATAATCCACTGAAGGATTGCATTGTCATGATATAGTCAGTGGCAGCACCAGCGGGGAGATTCAATTAAAAAAAAATTCAATTCAAAATAATTTTATTCCAAATCTTTTCAAAGCATAGATAAACAGTACAGATATGAAAAAGGAAATAGAAAGGGCAACCACAAACAAGCAGAGCTTTACAATAGTGGCGCCCGAAAAAAAAGTAATTAAGATACTATTTCAAATTGACAAAGTAAGTCAAGGTATACATTTTAATTAAAGCACTTTCATATCATAGATCAAGACAATAATAATAATAATAAGAATAAGAATAATAGCAAAGAAAAGAAAAATAAAATAAAAAAAATAATAAATAATAATAATAATAATGATAAAATATAAATAATATGTTGGTCTTAGATAGCAATTTAAACACTGTAAAATTATATAAATAATTAAATTAAATAGCAGCAATAGAATAGGGGGATTAAAGAATAGAGATAGGGGGATTAAGTCCCCCCACCGGACAGGTCAAGCCCCCCTGCCGGACAGAGCTCGTCGGGCAGTCAGACCATAAAACATATAAAAATAGGCCCACACCAAGCCAACACATGTCTCTCACGTAGTCTGAGAGTGCCATTTCCGGCCATCCAGAGGTTGCTATTCTTTAAAAAAATCTCATTTGGGAGGGAGAACCCCTCATAGCCCCTTCCCGCAGCTCGAGCCTACGAGCTCAAGTCCCCTGTCGGACAACTTAGCCTCCCCCCTAGAAAATATACCCTAGAGCCGCCACTGGATATAGTACTTCACAAACAATTTAAATATCCTGAAAACATGGCTCAAAAATAATAATTACAAGCTTTGGCTGCATAAATATTAGTAAAATCCCAGTGTCAAACCATCACTCCACCCTCTGCATTGCAGCCCTGAGTGTGTTTCAGTCGAAATAAGTAATTTTCATGACACCCGTCTGTATCTATACATACTGAACAGTACTACATATTCCAAATTCGAACTGGATGTGCTCCGCCCTATCGCAGAGGGCAGAATTTGGGGAACATTGCATCCAGAAATACCCAGTAAGATAATTTCATGCATTTAAAATGTTTAAAAATCTATATTTTGGAATGTTATTGAGAATTTTTAAATAGTACAGTGAGTAAAAGACGTTAAAACCAGGCTTCTCAAGTACTACCTCTGAACTCGACTCACTGCAACTAAAACTAAGCCTAATAATCCATATAATTTTGACTATGCTGTACAAAAAAAAGAATATTTTATGGGGGAAGGGGCTAATGATATACATATTTCTTTCACCCAACAGTCAATTCATATATATACAAACATTAAAAAGTGATTAAAATTTAAAAAACGAATTTTCAGCCATACAAGTAAACCAGGTGAAACTAAATTTGAATATTTAGAAAAATACAATTTTATATTCATAATTCTGATGTGCAATTAATGAATTCACAATTCTAATTAATCAATAATGTAGAATGTTAATACAATTCCACTTTAATCTAAAGATATTGATATTCTAAAAGGGAAATATGTAATTAAAACATAAAGTCTACACTTGCACAAAAACTAAAATGAATTAAATTATCAAGCAATTTTTGAAAAATAAAAAAAATATGGATATAAATATCAATATTATACTACAGAATCATAAAGAAAAATCTATTGTATATTCTACTTTCACATATTTCTTGATAGCAATATATAAAAACAGAAATAGTTAATTAGTTAATAATCACTTTCCACTTGGTATTTGTGGCAAAGACAAGCCAAACCAGTCACTCGTCGCAAATCCTGTTTCGGAGATAATGGCCAAAACATGTTGGAATGTCAAAATTTTGGAAATATATTTTATTGCACTAAACTAACTTTATATATTCATACATCATGCTATGCTTTTTTTCCCCCCATTTTCAATGTTAAAACAACAAATTTAAATGATTTGGTGATGGTTTCAGCCTGAGAAATGCCCGTAATCATAAACTTTGAAGGCTGATTTCTCAAATATTGTTCTTTAAACAGCTGTATGTTTAAATTCCTGTAACTTCATAACAAAATGTCAGATTTAAATAATTCTTTTACCATCTTATAGCTCTCATTTAACCCTGTATTAATAACTAAAAAGTGATTTTTGTGACCAGTGACTGGTTTGGCTTGTCTTTGCCACATTTGTTGAAGCTTTAGTGTTCTCCAGGCCATGCTGGTTCATTGTGCTGCGCGACGAGACTGACACCAGTGTCGTTTTCGTCTTCCAGATCTGAGAAATGGAAAAGATGACATGATCAGTGAGAAGTTTTCATGCTCATTTTGAATAAGTAATTGGGCTAGTGGACAAGAGAGTTCCTATGGGTTATTGAACATCATAAGCAATGTTGGCTTTTGTCCATTTTTGGCAGTTTATATACAGAAAAAAGTGGAGAATGGACATAACAAAATATACCGTAGTAAATCCTCAAATAAGCGGCGCGGAAATAACATTTTTTCGAGGCTTTAGTGCGGCGCTCATTTAAGAGGGCCGCATATTCGAGAGTGGTGCTAATTAAGCAAAGATTTATGTGTGGCTTTCCATGCCGTTCCCATGTTACCTATCCAATGTTTTCCTGTAGTTTAGCAGGCCTATCATAGGCCCTACATCATTGTAAATAGATTATAAAGATATGCTTGTGTCTTCATTGCTTTACTTATTCATTTGAACATTGTATACATCCATTGTATTTATTACCCTGTTTGTCAAAGTGTTTCATTGAACACAGGCACTTATTCACTCGAATAAGTGCTGCAGCGCTTACTTGAGAGTGGCGCTTAAAGAAAAAAATTTGAGAGTGGCACCCTTAATCGAGAGGGGCGCTTATTCAAGGATTTACGGTACTTGTCTGCTAATTCGAGGCTCCTGGGTTCAAATCCTTTTCATAACCAACAATTCCACACAAAAATAATTTAGGACTACATAAACATAAACAAAATGTTCTTACCTGATTCAGTATCATTAATGGCATCAAATTCACTGAGCATATTAATATCACTTCGGTATCTTACTCCCGTGCTTCCCCCTCTTTCATTGCAGAAGTTAATAAGACTAAAAACAGTATAAAGGAATTAAAGATCAAGTTAACATATAATATTGTTATCAGTACAGTATATTGATGTCAATATTCAAAACCAGAAGCAATATTATCCAGGGTTCACAAATCTCACATTAATCACAAACGCACTTCCACGAGCAACCACATATTCCCCTTAAACTAACCCATCTCCTGCAAATTCAGAATGTCTGAATGTTTTAACTTCTGTATTTATCAATAGGGAGCTTTCCATTGCACGACGACTGTAGAACGTACAACGTAATGACGTCACCAAAACTCTTCTGCGCATGTGAGAACGATAATTCCACATCGCGTGGATTCTAGGACGCAATTTGGCCAAATCTATGTATGCAGAGAACGTAGGACGCCAGGTAGGATGGTCACGCATTAGTGATTCCATTCTAGTGTGTCATCGACCAAATCAAAACTCCCTAATGTCTCTCTCAAGTTGGCTGGCCATATGTATACCTTCAAGTGCAGAAAAATACAAGTGTGTCAATATACAAAAGCTCATTAAAACCAGATCTCCTGGTCCCAACATGGAACCCCTGAACACATCATATAGTATTTATGATCTTGGTGAGTGGAATAAATATATTTGCTTCTGAAACAAGCCTGCCAGTTTGAATGGTTATCCTCTCCATTATGTCTTATTGTCAATGTTTCGCTTTGGTTTTGAAATAAATATTTTTGCTTTTATAAAATGTAAATTGATTATTTTTTAAATTGAATGGATAACAATAAATGTTATTCTATACTTCTATCATCTCATATGGGTTACCATACTTTATTTTAAATCTTTCATAGCACATAATATGCTTTATATGTCCCATCATGTCAAGATCTACATGTTTAACATGTTAACATTATTAAGCTTGTCCTATGATTAATGATCGCAAACTGTGGGTCGCAACCCACCAGTCACCAAACTATTTAGGTGGGTCATGAAGCCTTGACAGAAATCACATGAAATCAGCTAAAATTTAATAATGTCACTAATATCATAATACTTTGAAACACCACATGTTACTTTGTAACAAAACACAGTGTTAAACTTGTTGTTAATGTCTTGTATATCACTCAAACCAAATGAGTTTTTGAAGGATTGTTTTGCTACACTAAATGTACCTCTCTTTGCAAGACTCTCAAATTGGTGGGTACTCATACTGTCTGAAGCAATCTAGATTATCGGTATTGTGTGTGAGCATTCATTTTGCCAACTTTACTGTTAAACTATTGAAGATATTTTGACAAGGTCAAATATAACAAACGGACTCAAAAATGTCAATAAAACCTGTTTAGTGTGACACTACAAGGAACATTTCATTACTAGGTTTTGGCTGTACATTTAGCTAGCTGTATGAGGCGGTACCCGTGCAAGACAGCTACTCATTGATTTGCTTTCATCTTTTTTAACATACAATGATAGTCACTAGTGAAATATATTTATCCACCAAAACAAAAATGTATCTATATATATATATATCACACCTTTTCCAGTTTTTATCTTTGCTTAGCACTACAGGGTTTCCGATAATAATTAATAATGCCTTTGCACGAGTGATTGCAACGTTGAATCTCTGTTTAAAACAAAATATACATACGTCTTCAACACTGTTGTTTATATTGTTACTTGTGCTGATAAATCTTTTTTTTAATTAATCTATTCTTGATCCATTTTCATAATAATAAAAATAATTGGACTTCTGACTTTTACGTTAAGTTACAATAGCAGCATGCTTAAATACTTGTTTATATCAAGCAAATTTAACTTGTCAAATCTCACTCCCATATTAATGAGGTCAGTTAAAGATGCACTGTCTGTCATGAACTACAAAAAAAAAAAAATTCTAATTTTGAATTGCTTAATTTATATAGAGTTTTAGATTTTAAATAAGTTCTGATTTGAGATTGGATCTCTTTCCACCAGAGCCATTCTCAAATTGTCTCAGCCTTGTACTCGCCAAGGGCAGTTTTTATATTTTCAAAGTGGGGGGGGGGGGGAACAGAATTGAAAAAAGAAAGAAAAAAAAATTGATCATCTAAAACACCTCAGAGGTTATTTCTGGGCGTCTAGAACAGAGTTACGCAACATTTCTGGGCCAGGGAACCACTTCCTACACCATGAACAAACACATACTAATATTCAAAGTCATTACTTAGACCTGTACTGACATAGTCGAATCATCATTATTTTGACATAGGGAGAGCATTAATTATGCCTGCAGTTATATTATACCACATAAATAGAATAAAATTAAGAGAAACAAGTTCTGCTACTATTTGCAATAAGCTTTATGAGCTCAAATAGTCGATAAGTCTCTTAAGTAGGCCTAAATGCTGAAGGCAATGCAAACCATCAAATGACTTGTCACTGGGAATGGATTATCAACTCAAAAACTTTTAAATGATGGCACCAGAAAGTCATAAAAACAATTAAGGCAAGAGTAATTTGGACATTTTCAAAATTCTAGAGAATATTTTGAGCTTCTCATATAACTAATATTTTCTTAGCATTTGGTGCGTAAACATCACCACCCGAAAACGGAAACATCAAAAAGTGCGTGCGCCAAGACCAAGGCTGCCTAATTTTGGACACATGCAAGATTTCAAGTTGGGAGCAAAAAGCAACGCTGATAAACTAAACCCAATGTTCAGCGGCGTAGCTAGGCGATGATGGGCCCCAGCGCAAGAATAATTGTCAGGCCTTTTGACTAGAAGCGTCGATCATGGGTGTTAGGCCTATGACTGGGGGACTGGGACATTACGAAGTGTTTCCTTTTTCCTTTACCCCTTCCTCCTATTATGGTGATGCTATATTTTAGCTCATCAACTTATGGCCACCCAAATTCAACTCATTAATTTTTTCATGAATATTCTATTAAAAACATTTAATAATATGGTGACCAATAAGACAGCTGGAATCTTTATGAATAATTGACTGTACTGTACACTTCTTATTTAATTAAAAATAAATTGTGGACTTGAAAACAATGTAACAATATCAAATATGAACACAATCAACTCACTGCACTTCTTTCAATATTGAACGTTTCAGACTGAAGCAATATGCTCATTGAATTGTAAATAATTATTGAGAAATTTCCAGTTATCATAGAATTATGCTTAGATTTTAAAAAGAACTAGAAAAAAGAATTTCATTGTCAATTACAGTTAAATAATATTCTTTTGTAATGATAGACCCTTAAATTGGCTGCAATTTAAGGATTTTGTAGTAATGTCTCAGTAAATCAGTGAAAACTATTTTTTCAATCTCTTTCTGGTTTGAAGCAAAAATCTTTAAATATTTAATACTTTTAAATGAGCTATTCAGGATTTTATTTCCAACAGCCCTGGGTACCTTCCAATTTTGACACCAATTGAGTAAAACATGTGAATCTAAATAGACTGTTTCCACGGATTAAAAAATAATGTAAAAATCAGTTGCAGAAGGGTGGGTCGTAAAGATAGCCAAGTTAGAATATATAATAGTATTTAAATATTTTTATTACCATTTATATATATATTGGGAAAATCTGAACAAATGCATTCAAAGTCTGAGAATGTTATTAAGTGGGGAGCTTGATGTTCAGTTGAGGGGCGCTAATTCACAAAATAAGGTGATTTCAGGTGATTTTTAACTACTTGACCACGATTTTTTTTTCGGAGGAGGGGAGGGGCACAAGTAATTTCCACATAGTTACCTCACTGCATGGGGTGCCTTGGGCATAAAATTGAGTACCTCAACCCTAACAACGGTGGAGCTTAGATGTCTGGACCCTCCATTTGTCAACTTTTTACCCTGGGCTCTCTATTTTAAAATTCTCAATCCACGCCACTAACACAGGCTGGCATATTTTTATCAGATATGTCAAACAAACATACACATAATTGTCTGTCAAACATGATTAAATCTGACAGACAAAAATCTCATACTTACTAAAGACTTACCTTTGGGTTGTTAAGGAAACCAAGTTTGAAATGTTTGTCGTCTTTGAGAAATTGCTCACTACTACGTACAGTTGAAACAATAATAATTAGTCTTTCCTGCCCTTGGAATTCTTCAACTGAGCCCACTTTGATATCTTTGTAGTTACGCTTATCAAGGGCTTTCTGAATCTTTTGAACCTGATTATAAAAAAAAGTAACACACTGTATAACAACATCTGATTTGTACATAAACTAATTAAAACACAACTACTAGAGCTATAATAGAAATAGACGTAAGTAATGTTTAGACGACCTTCCATCTAAAGTAAATTTTTGACAGATGTACAATTTTATGTGCGCAAGTTACTACAGGCAATGTTCTTTATATGTCAAAGTTTAGCAGTATCTATGCAAATTTTCATGGAAAAATTTTTGTAGTCCTAAACAAAGGTTTAAACATCACAGGAAATGTTATTGTTGGCACTCATTTGTAGGTAATATCTTTTGAAAAAATTGAGGTCATAATAAAGGTTGTATTTTCTTGCAAGCTCTGAAATAATTTCATCTACCCAGTGCTACTCTGATCAAGTACTCCTTACATTACGTGTGCATGTGGAAGTAGCACATACATTGTGGCTACCTTTTGCACTATATATACTTTACTCTTTACAACTCATGGTAATCAGAACACGCAGATCTACTGTAGTACTGAATGGATGGTAGATGTATGTTCTTGTGTTTAAATTCCAAATAGATATACTGTGCTTATTTTTACCTGCTTACGATAGGGTGAGATCACACCAATATCTGACTGCTTCAACTTTTTCCCTGAATGCCTTCCCTCCATCAGTTTTTGAATATATTCAAAAACAGCATGGCATTCTTTGGTGTTGAAAAATGATGGACTGGTCCCTTCTCTTTCATCTTTACCTTCAACACCGTGAAAGATTAATGGAAAGTTCTGAAAAGTATAAAATATTTAAGGTTAATAGTTTTCTTTGTTTTCATTACTGTACAATTTTTAGAATTCTATTGATGAATATAATAATAATAGATGGATTTATATAGCACAAATACACAAGGTCTATATGAACTCAACAATAGGTAAAGAAGACAACAAAAAAGCCTAATAAAAAAGCAAGTGAAAAAAAAACAAAAAACACCAAGCTAGCACCCAAACAAAAAAAAAAAATGCCAAAGGGTTACTGATAACTTAAATTGCATAATTATTTTAGACCAATTCCTAATTAAAAATTAACTATACAGTAATTTGTAACCCATGATATCCACTAGAAAATTACCCCGGATAAATCCCTCAAAAGGTAAAACCTTTTAAGCATTTGAATGTCTTAATTAAATGGCCATATAATAGTCGTTCTGAAATTTATATTTTCATCCTAGTGGCTGCACCCCTATGTTTTCTGGGATCCTTTGGCCAGCCTGTCCCCCTCCCAACACTAATGGAAACAACCATGATATGCTTATTTACCTTTTCTGGTAGTTCTTCCCATCTGCACATCATCTGTCTCATAAATACATTAGCTTTGGCTTCTAGTTCGTTATCGTAGAACAGCTCATTTGGCAACTCCAAGATTTCAGGATGAGATCTATAATTCTGCAGCAGCTTTGTCATCACCTTCGGATTATAATGTGGTTCCTCCTCTTTACGTGCATACAATGAGTTGTCTGTCATTAACCTCTCCAGGAACGATGTAGCTGAAACGTACGGTAAATAACATTAATAAACAGACTTTTTGTGCTCGACAAAAGTGATTGCACTCAGAAGGTCTAATGGGTAGAACGCTGTCTCTTATACACATCTAGATGTGTATAAGAGACAGGATTAGGTGAGGGGGCTTGATGATTAGGTGGGGGGTGCTAGCTTGCAAAATAAGATAATTTTAGGTGATTTTTAACTACTTGAGCGTGATTTTTTTTGGGGGGGGGGGGGCGAATATTTTTTGGAGGGGTGTGCGCCCCCTGAATTGTATTTAACAAATATGAGCAGAATGAAAAACTGAATGTATATTTGACATAGAAATATGGCTGCATACATCCAGCATCCTGCAATACAGGCTAGCGTGGCTCAGCTTTTGACAGTTAGGATTTAATGTACAATAAACAGATTTTTTCATTTAGCCATTTATCTCAGTCTATTAATCTAAGTATAAAAACGACAAATACAAAGCGGTAGCAAAAAGCTAAAATGCTTGCATACAATACATATAAAATATAAACCAAGATTACCAAACAGAAAAATTTAACAAAATGACAAATACTTTACTGAAATACACAACAAGAATTATAAGCCTACAGTTATTTTTTAAATTATGTTTACACAAATTTTATAATTATTTTTTGAAATTTTAATCTAATTTTAATTAGCGAAAAAGTTTTTTGGTGCTGTTCAATCGGCTATGTTTTTTTTCCATCACAGGAAAAAATAATACTGTTGTTAACACATTCCTTCGTTAACTTTTGAGGTAAACTATTTTTTGGTAAACGAACCAAATGAAAATAATTCTCAACGAAATATCATTGTCAACAAAAAATACCAGTCGCATAAAGCCAATTACTGCAATTGAGACTGACTTCACAACTTGTTCATATAATAATTTTTTTGCTTCATTCATATGTGAATTTGATACACTATAGATAATGTTTGCTCTATGTCTCTGTCATACATTTGGTTCTTTTTAATCCAAATTCACACTATACCTAAGCCAAACTTAATGGCCATTGGCGACCTCAGTACTGGTCCCAGTTGTTTTGGGTCACCGGCAAGTACAAGCTGACCTCCTTTGGAATTGTTTGGGTTCAGCAGGTTGGAGACAGCTATGATAGCTTCTGGCTCCTCGGCATGTCCAGCTTCATCAATAAAAACATGAGTAAAGTGGTTGTGTGGGAAGTTAGCACTCGCAAGTCTGATAGTAAAAAATTTATAAAACAATAATAATAACAATAACAATGTTATAGAAATAAAATTATCAATCATTTTGTAAATGAGTTGAGAACAAAATTGTTACAATATGAATCTCAAGAGAAGTTGGTAAATTATTCAGCCCTTTTAAATACCAATTCAATGGTTTAAAGGTGTTTGAGTGGTTTTTGCAGGTAATATACAATAAAAAAACATTTTATTCATCAAAATAAAAAAAATAAAAAATGCAATAAAAAATTTAAAAAAAAGAGCCCTTAAAAAACTTTTTAAAAAAAATTGTGTTTTTAAGAAAAAAATTATTAATAATTTTGTAATTCGGTCAAAAACAACAATTGATACAATATGAGTCTCATTAGAACACGAGTGGGCAAAGTTCAGCCCGCATGCGGCCCGACAGTTATTCTTTTGCGGCCTGTGAAAACAAATTAAAAACCCTATGTGTGCAGCCCGAAAATCACTTTTGGCAAAAAACACTTTGTTTTTTACTGCCCGTCACTGATCATCTACAAAAAATAATATTATAACTAACTATATATTAACTATATACTATAAAGTGGTGTAAAAGCAGTTTACAAAGGTTTTTGGAAGCACACTGGAATACTGGAACCATCAAAATTTGGAAACATGTTAAATCAAAAATTCACTTTGACCCTCCCACTGATTTTTATGTCAGCCCCTGCATTAGAATTTAGTAAATTATTCTTCCCTTTAAATTAGCAATTCAATGATCTAATGAGGTGTTTGGGTGATTTTTGCAGGTATATACAATGTAAACAATATATTATTCATCAAAATTTAAAATTTACAAAAAATACAGTAAAAAATAGAAAATGACAAAAATGAAGAAACCAAATTGGGATTTTAAGAAAAGAGGGATCAGCGAAAAAATGGAATGAAAGAAATTGGGAGAAAAAGTTTACTAAATTGACGGAAAAAACACCTCTTAGTCAAATTTAAAAATTAAAATTAGACATAATTATCAGAACGTAATATGATTAACAATTAACTGACCTTCCAGCCGTAACTAGTGTAGTCACCACAATTCTGTACTCCTGAATCTCACTTTTAGAAGGAAATACATTTTCACAAGTCTCATAGTTATAATTGCAACATTTAGCATCCTGAAAATCAGTAAAAATATAAGACATATGATTATTATTTCATACTCAAATATCCAAACACAGTGAATAGAGATCAGTTCATAGAAAATCATTTGATTCTGTAATTTGGGCAGGACTGCTGTTGTAAGTTAAAAGAAAAAAAAAAAGGATTAATAGAAAAAAGAAAATAAAATAATACACACACCTTCAGAGCTTTATCTACTGTGTCCCAACCCCGAGTTTTTGCATTCATACGATAAATGGCTGACTTGGAAATTTTACTGTTTTCCAACAGTCTCACTGCTATCAGGTCTGCAGCACTATTGGAAGGTGCACAAGCTAAGATCCTGCTACCACCAATGTGTCTATTAACCTAAAAAAGACAAGAAAATACACATTAATAGAAACTTTTCATCATATTTGTGTTAATTTCAGCCTAAAATCCTTTCACTTTGCTTGTTATTATCAGTCAATCAAATAATTCATATAGCAGCAGAATGCATAAAAGAAATGTTGAAAGGCACTCGAACAGCAAGATTTTAAGCTTCCTCTTAAAAATGTTGACTGATTGGACCTCCTTTAACATGTGGACTGCGGAGGAGAGCTCCAGAAACGAGGTCCACCACATAAAAATGAGCTCTGTTATGTAAATTGATAAATAAAGGTGAAGAGGGGGCTCAATGATTAAGCGAGGAGGCGTTAAGTCGCAAAATAAGGTGATTTTTAACTACTTGAGCGTGATTTGAGATCTGGGATAATGTGTATGTAATGTGTTGGTATACAGGGGTCCCAAGTCTCCCGGCAAACAGGACTGCCTCCTGCAAGCAAGCAAGAATCTCGAAGAAATAATCTCCAAAAAATTCATAATATTTTCATGTTATTACAACTTTTTAATAATCTGTTCTCTGCTCCAATGCCCTTTGTCACATGAACACAGTGTGTTGTAGGACCCTGATATTTTTATTGGCCTGGAGGTAATTGGGGTTTAACTTGACACTCTGGAGCACGGCAATTCATCCGCTGTATATGGCGATTACTGTGCAACAGGTTAGGCCTAGTACTGAACATTGTAACTTATCAAACAATTAAATGACATGTATAAAGCATGGTCAGTGCTTATCCTCCCCTTGTACTTCTTGCTTGAATTAGGCCTACTTGAATATGGTCACTTTGAGTATGCATGGTTGTTTATTTTGATTTTAAGGCTTTCTCAGTTAGACAAGATTTTCTCATTGGTTTAGAGTTTGAACAAGACTTTCTCATTTGGATGAGTTCCTCCTAGGCACAAGAAAGTTAAATTAATTGATTCTGAGGTGTAATGTGTTGGCTTGCATGTGAGCTTTCTAGATATGAGAAAATAACAATAAAAAAACAATAAAGAAAATAAATTTTAAAAACCTTAAAAAATTGGTTTGTGGACATAAGCAATCCAATCCTAGCATAAGAAAGTACACACCTGTTTGATGGCTTCTACAATAGTAACAGTCTTTCCTGTACCTGGCGGGCCAAACACAAGGTATGGGGCTGGTCTTGATGATCCTTTAGTAATGTGCCTAACCGCTTCACTTTGTTCAGCATTGTTCTTAATATCACGATTGAAAAACCTTGAAAGAAATAAGTTAATTCTTTTGGATTTTTAATGTTATTGAGCGATTTTATGCCAAATAAATTTTACTGAAAATAAATCAAACTTATCTTTATAATGGAAGTATTGGAAAACCCCAGTTTCAGTGGAAAATTGAAAAGGATTCTGAAATTATAGCCCATAGTTGACACCACAATCCAAGGTCAGAATTAAACAAAAATGTTCGCCCATGTAATTTGTAAGATTCGGAATTGGGACTTTCCATTTCAGGGCCAGTGGCGGTGCCAGGGGGCTTAGGCCCCCCATCGGTCTGGTCAAGCCCCCCCCCATCGGCCGAAGCTCGTCGGGCAGTTGGACCAAAAAAATAGGCCTAGTTTTCCCATCCCAGCCATTTCCAGCCATCTAGAAGTCAAAATTATTTTTTTTAAATCTCTGTTCAGGGCCTCCATAATACTGACGCACACAAGAGGTATTTGTTTTACGCCAAATTCCATTCATGGAAAGCGTACGCACAAACGGCAAAAGTTGTTCAAAAGTCTGCTGCACACGAGAGCTATGTTATGTTATGCCACAACTGTTATTCGTGGCAAGTAGCATAAGCAGATGGCCCTTGAAGTGTGCAGCATTTAATAAGGTACGTTCAATTTTCAGCAAAAAGCTGAGATGATCACCTGGGAGCCTCTGACACGGAATGACACTATTGATAGATCACATTTAAGTATGTATTAATAACTATTTAAATAAGTAATGGTCTCTCATACTTACCGAGCTCCTATGTTTTATTATTATTGTAGTTTTACATATCCTTATTTACAATGCTATGCTAACTTGATAATAAAGACAAAACTCCCACAGGTATTACAACTGAACTACCGATACTTGAGGTATAACAGCAATGCAACCCAAAAATGAAAGTGATTTGGCGCAAAGGAAACAGTTTGGTTTCCTAACCTCGAGGTTGGGGTTTCCATCCCATGCTGTGCATTTTGCTTGTGTCCTTCAGCAAAGGCGTGCACATTTTATGTGTTGTTTCTCTCCACCCAGGGGTATAAATGGGTACATGTGGGGTTGCCTACTCCTGCACTGATTACAGCAGCATGTGAACCGAACGACCTGGGACTAAAGCGCTTCATGTATCTGCAATAAAAAGCCACTATATAAATAAAATAATAAATAAATAAATAAAAATCATTCAGATTTAAACAAGAACGTTGGATCAGACTAATCTAGACTAGTCTGATGAAATAAAGGATTGGCTTTATACTTTGCTAACGAATGGAATTCACTTACGTTATTGTAGCATTGTTAAGCAGAGTAGCTTTTGCAGCAGTTATTTTCTTTGGGAATAGGACATGTTTCAGTCCATTAGGTATGGCCTGCATCACTGCACGGTGTTGAAGCATTAAAGGTCGGCGGTTGAATGTGAAGTCTATTTTAAACTTTGAATTACGTATATAAACTTTTACTAGGCTAGAATGGAAAAAAATCAAAAAATCATGCATGATGTGATAAAATAATATATATGGCAAACACAAGCCAAACCAATCACTTGTTGCAAAGATTGACTTTTAGTTAATAATACAGAGTTAAAAAGTAAAATGAGAGCTACAAAATGGTAAAAAAATCATTTATATCTGACATTTCGTTAAAAAGTCACAGTTTAAAAGTTTAAACATACAGCTGTTTAAAGAACAATATTTTGAGAAATCAGCCTTCAAAGTTTACGATTTCGGGCATTTCTTAGGCAGAAACCATCACCAAATCGTTAAAAATTGTTGTTTTAACATTGAAAATGAGGAAAATAACAGCATAGCATGATGTACAGATATATAAAGGTTAGTTTAGTGCAACTTAATATAGATTTCCAGAATTTTGACATTCTAGCTTTTGGCTATTTTCTCAGAAAGAGGATTTGCGACGAGTGACATATTATTGTTTTACAATTTTGAGGTTTACTGTAAAAGAGAATTATACTTTTGCAGATCAAATGTTTTTTTTAAACACAGGGATCATAGAATTGATCTACTAAACTTAAAATATCTGTGATTTGCTCATAATAATATGAAATTATCATGTCCATATAATAGTGGCAAAGACAAGCCAAACCAGTCACTCTTCGCAAACCCTGTTTTGGAAATAATGGTCAAAACACACTGGAATGTCAACATTTTGAAAATCTATTTTATTGCACTAAACAAACGATTATATATCTATACAGCTATACTGTTATTTTTCTCCATTTTCAATGTTAAAACAACAATTTTTAAAAATTTGGTGATGCCATGGCTTCTGCCTAAGAAATGCCAGAAATTGTAAACTTGGAAGGCTGATTTCTCAAATATAGTCCTTCTAAACATATAATGTCAACAGAACAAAGCAATTTTATTGAATACTATTAGAGGATTTGTTTACTTTGTTTGCATAGCTCAAGGCATACACTAATTCTTTATCAGAACAACAAATTAATTTTACTCATGTGTTGTATAGTAGAAATGTCCTACCACTTTCAGTGTGTAAACCTGCCTTAAAAGACATACAGTATCTAATAAATATATATAATTTATATATAATTTGTATATACAAAAAAAAAGTGTCAGTTGGAAGAACTTTTTAAAAATGCATATGACAGTGAATGTGTTAAATGTGCAAAATGTCTTTAATAGAGGTACATGTTAAGCCAAAATGAATATATTCTTCAGCATGACTTTACCTTGAGTTGAAACCCAGGACTAAGTCTTCCATTTCCACACGATGGACATAGCCCTTGTAACGCTCACCAACTGAAAGTGTAGCAAACAAATGATCACCTTTTAGAACAGAGGGACGATTTTCAGCCAGCCCAGGCACCTGAAGAAAGTAAAATACTGTTGAACTTCTCTGTGTGACGTGCTCTGATAGGTGACCATTCCACTAAAGCAACCACTTGCCAAAAGTCTTTGTTTCCCATTCATTTAAAATAAAATTACATATTATCTTGTATTATTTTTACCTTATTTTGGGGCATCACACAGGTATAGAAATTATGTGTTAAGTGACTTTACCTACGTGTGACACACACAGTTTTGAAAAGAACTGCTGCATTGTTGAGAATGCCCATTATGATGTTTTACACTTTTCAATCGAAGGTAATTTTATGAGTATTCAAGAATGGCGGAAGGTTAGTTCTAGAGTTTGTGGGTTCGATTCTCACCTAAATCACTTGCAAATTTTTTTCACAAGTGTTTGGGAATGTACTGAGTATTCACTGCGTTAATACGTCAGGTAGTGCAAACCATCAATCCTATGATCCCGATGCAAACTAACATTATAATAGCATTTGCAGTACCCACTGCTACTTGGGGATTGGATTCAACATTATCACTCAGCGCAAGCTTGGTAGTCTAGTGGTTATGGCGCCAGGCTAGTTCTGGAGGTTATGGGTTCGATTCCCACCCGAATCACTTGCAAGTTTGTTTTCACAAGTATTGTGAATATGCTGGTAGGGCAAAACATCACTCCTATGCTATTTCCTGACACAAACTCACATCGTAATATATTTATGAATACTATGAAAACCTCAACAACATTATTTCAACAATCCTTTTCTTTTAATGTCATGTATCATTTAATAACATGTATCTAAATGTATAGGAATTTATTTTGTTCTCTTTTGCATGTAATGTCCTTTTTTGATATTCCTATACATTTTGTAATCTTGATGTAAATAATTAATTTTCTGAATACAAATTTGTTTATATATTGTTTACAATATTGGTGTAATAATTTCATAATTGAATTTTGATGTTTTTTAAATTGAATGTTTATTTTTCTGCAATGTAATTTTATGTCTGTCCATTTCCATCTTTTGCATGTTATTGTTCTTTTTTATTTAACTATTGTAAATACCATCACTTTCAATACATACCATCAATTCAGCTTTTGTGAATTTAATTGAATAAACCATTTATCTATCTATCTATCTAACAATAAATTTAACAATTAATATCAAAGTAACTCATCTGACTTGCATTTAGTTTAAGTAAACGTCTATTCTTATCAGGAGTCATTATTGCATCCTCCATGCTGTACTGAAGAATGTCCAAAGCCATCTGACGTTCCTCAATGTGTAACAATGTAGAGAACTTTTCTGCATAATTTTTAGATGTCAGTTTCTCTTCCAACCTTTTGCTGAAATGATCATTCCGGTTTCATCAAATTTATACCAACCCATCACCATTGGCAATGATGCACATAACAGTAAGATATAAGGCGTTGTTCACACTATCAAATTTTATGTGACAAAACAACAATAAAATGGGCATAATACATTTATTTGTCACATAGTGTGGACAGAACTTATGATTCATAATGTACACATCTCTACCAAAGGTACTTGAGGGGAGTGTCAACATAAAATCACTACACTGTGTTCATTGCAATCGTTACATATTTGAGGTTCAATGCCATTTGAACTATTATAATACACACAAAACATTTAGTGCTGGAGGCAATTTATCAAGAAAATATTCATGGTCCAAGCATGGACCTATTGGTCAGAAGCCAGTTTATTTTTACAACCATGGCATTAAAATATTTAACTACAAAACAAAACAGTATATCTCAGATATCAGAAATAGAAAAAAAAAGACCAATCAGCATCCCCCAAAGCAGTCAGAGATAGCATGTAGCAATTTTATTGAAGCTAGGCTTAAAATTATCAACATTAATAGAGGCTATACAAACCTAATGTCATCAGTGTCTCCTTCATCCATCATAGTTTCCAACTCCTCAGGAATTTCGTATTGTTGTAATTCAGTCATCTCCAGATTATCTAATGATTTACTTAAAGAAAAAAAATAATGTGTCAATGGATAGTATTCTAGTAGATATATGACAGTACCCTACACAATTCTCATAAATTACATTATGAAATAGTTTGGGCAGCCATGTTAATCTGAAACAATGAAGACAAGGTGCTAACTTTAAGTTAGAAGTTTTTCACACAATGAATATTTTTACTAAAGTTCTCAAATCAAAGTTTACAAAGTGAAAAAAAACCCACAAAACACTTTTAGCACATAAACACACACATAACTATAGATTTTAAGCCCAAAATATAAAAAAAAAAATAACAGATAGATTAAAAAATAAAAGGCTAACTGTGAAAAAACCCATTTAATTAATTAAAATATAAAAATCATATCTGCAAGCAAATTAACTAGTCTGTTTTAAACATTAGGGATGATACCACAGAAGGCCCCTATTTATATATATATTTTAGTGCAACAAAATAGGTTTTAGTTTAGTGGCCCTAATTTACATTTGAAAGAAAAGAATTTACATAAATATACAATACAATAAGTAAACAAATTAATTCTTATTAATTATTTAAATGTTTTCATTGCAAAAGCGCATACATTTTTCAACCTTGTTTCTAATAAATTTTTTAAATTCATCAATATTACATTTTTATTTTCTCCTCTGCCTAGATGTTTCAATATTTGCTAAAATGAAAAAACAAAATTTTATTGTTATTTTCTCTACCCTCCTCTGATAATCTTTAAAAAAAAACTTTAGCTAGGTATAAAAATCTTGTGTAAAGAATGCAAACTAATTCACAAGATAACCATCAAAAGCTTACTACGATAAACGCACACCGTCTATGAATTTTCTGCACCTGGTAGGCTTACGAGTCCTTCGGGATTTAACGTAGGGAGATTTTGGTTTCAGTTCTCTTGTCAGCTCAGATTCAACCTCTACAACAATGTTCCGAAGAATTTGAAAAAACTGCCAAGAAAGAATAATTGCTTTAAATTTTTATATACCGTATGGATAAAATATATGCCAAGAATATATGAATAATGTAAATAATGCAAACTTTAATATTTGATAATACCAAAATTCTGTATGGCTCTCTACAATAGTCACAGCATTTTATTTATCGAGGCTTTGACCATTAGGCATTATTCTTTCTCCCTTCCATGGATACTCACTAGATCCAGACCTAGTTTTACTTGAAAATTTGAAAACAAGATTTAGTTTACAATACATTTTTAAAATTTTGTATTCATAAACTAGATGAAAAATAAAATTTGTATGATACTGAAATGAGATAACCGCTATCATGTAGAACAAGATCTGTTGTCCTGTTATGCTGCACTCATTTTCTAAGGCAAGGATACATGGTAACGCACATGGTCAGACCAGTAGTGGTGCGTCTCACACACAATTTTTTTCTCCGCGTAAAGCGAAACCGATGCTTGATTTAGATATTAATATTCTATAACCTTTAAAATTTGCTGGTATTGTATACTTTAACTTCTGTGTAAATTACATGTTTTCTGTCCTTGTTGTTCACACTCTGGTGCAGCTCTAACCTGCAACAGTGCGGCTATAATATTGAAAACAGCCTTATACATATCAACAAGCAGGTACGGCTATCACCAGTATGATGTGGTTTTGTTAACCTTGGATCGCATGATCAGATTTCTTAACACAAGTGGCTGTGATTGGTGCAATTACCCAGTTTGATAGAAATCTGACCAATGCAGAACCTGGTTTCATATGACAATCCGTCTTTAAGTTTAATACATGAGATATGCCGAAACACATAAATTTAAAGAATTTCCCCATTACTTCCATCTGTCCAACAAAAAAAAAATCTCATACTTTTATTTTCCCAACCGTTCTCCTTAATATTACCAAAATCACAGTCAAATATTATCACAAATGAAGCCTCTCATAGTAAATGTTTTGTCTTCATGTTTTTTGTAAGACTTTTAGATATCAGCTTGTTTTAGTCAGTGCCTTGATAATTTTGTAAATGTCCTATATAAATCATATTATTATTATTGTTATTATTATTAGTGATGACATAAGCCAATAGCAGGTGGGCGAAAATATCATGTTAATCTTACGTTTTTGCCTGGAAATGCAAAAGCAAGTGCCAGCAAATTTCTGTAATCACTGACAGACTCTGGTTTGCAAAATACTGGAAATGTAAAATCGTCTCCTAAAAGAAAAGCACACGCAAGTGAATTACAAATTTATTATAATTGCAGTTTAGCATGGTTCTGGTTCTAATATGTTCATTTATAAACTTTATAACCAAAAAATGTAAAAAAATGAATGAATTACATTTTGAAAAAGCAATAAATTAAAAAATATCATTTGGCTCTTTCAAATATCATACCATTATTGTTTAGTTGACTTCCCAATAATCCAAATCCTTATTTATTTTTTATACCTATTAAAAATAATAGACGTTCCTACAAGCCCTGCCCCCTTAGATATTGTTGATAAAAACTCACAAATCATGTTCTGATTGGTCATTTGTTAAGTTTGATTGACACCCTGGAAGAGTCTATTGCAAATTATGGGTGAAGTGACTCACATCACTAACTGCTAGGTAACTACAGGATGCATTCGTAGAAAACAGTGTCATACAAATAGGTCATGCAACATAAAAATATATTGTTAAAACTATTTCAACCTCTAAAGTTATGAAAAACTAATATATAAAAAAAATGAAATAAAATTGTAATGATACATAATGGAAATGACATACCTTGTGGAATTTTAACATGCTTTGTTGGTTCATTCACTTTAAATGTAGAATCATTCATCAACAACCAACCAAGTAACAAGGTGACATCATTTTCACTGATGGAATAGAAACATGTAAATAATAAATATAGTTTACAGTAGTTGAATTTATTGAATGTATTTAAATTAACAACAAATAAAACGACATACATTATTGCAAAAACAGCTAGGCCTAAATGTATATATTACAAACCAGAGCTGAGTATGCAACAAATTCCAGTTGATACCCTCTCATGTGTATCAATGTTGCTCATTCCAAGTAGTATAGAAATTAAACCACAGATCACCATATTTTTCCTGTTGGTGTCCTCTCATTTAATCATTGAGACCTACCACCCATCTCCAATTTCAAGTCTCCTAAACAGGCCACCGCACATAATTCTACAATACGAAACACTGAAACAACACAGAATTAATACAACTCTCACTCTCTAATGCTCTGTCCTTACTATTCAATTTCATGCGAGAAATTTGTGTGATGCACCCATATATAGGTAAGATGATGTCTGTTACACAGAAATATGGGCATATCACATAAATCTGTCACAAAAAATTTAATATTGTGGAGAGAGCTGAATTGTATACACACTCTATAAAACTATGGATATTAATAATTTATTTTTTAATATCTTACCTCTTATTACTAATAGTTATATTAATTTCTACAAGTTCATTCATATTTGCATCTTCAACTAAAATGCCAGTTTTAACATCATGATCAGATGTCACTTCGATGTCATATTTATCCTTATGCCAAGTTTTCCTGAAAATCAACAAAAGGGTGAAATTCAGTAAACCAAGGTGCTCGCTTACTCTACAACGTGTAAACGGCACGGTTTGTTCAGATAAAACAGAATAATCTTTCATGACCACTAAATTATTATTGACCAGCTCACTTTATCCAACGTTTCGCATTTATTTAAGCATCATCAGGGATGATACATAATACAAAAAAACGAAAAAATATGCACCAAAGATTATACCCTAACTACTGCAACTACGATATTATGTAATAGAACACCAACTATAATTATATTTTCCAAAACACTAAATACGCAAAACCCATGATTTTGGTGTGTCTGCATCAGACGAATTGAGTTTGGAGTACAGTATTACAGTGTGCAATACACAAAACCTCCAAAATTGAAGTATCCTTCAAAACAGAAAGCAGCATGAGCAGTAACTACATGCTGTATGTGGGAAGTAGCGACGATTTATAATCATTTACAATTATAAAAGAAAATCTGAACATAGATTTAGACAATACCAGTTATTCTGGAAGAGCAATCTCATTTTACCGCAATGATTCCGCCCTCTCCAATGCGAATCAAAGCTGCGTTGACTACAATTAATGACATCACAATATTCACAGCATAGTGCATTACGATCACAACTCGCCTTCCTTGCGTTCTTTTTTCGTTCTTTGCGATACTGACCAATAGTGACATGTTCGGAAGGAGAAATTTCAATCACTGTGTTGTTTTTTCTGTTAATCTTGATCTTCCTTGCCCATTTAAGATCATTGATGAGTTTCTCAAATATGAATGCTAAATTCATAAAAAGAACAATAATAGGTTATGCACATAAAATGAAGAGATCGGTTTCTATTTAGCAAATGTATTCCAAAGAACTTTAGTAAAACTTGGACATATTCATAATCAAGTATAACATTTAACATCCAATAACATAACATACATGGTCCATTATCTCCCAATTTAACTGAAAACTCATTATCATAGACTGTATGTAACTCTTCCAGGTTCATTTGATCAAGGGTTTTTCCCTTGTCCTGGAGGAAGCTAGTGAAGCAGCTCCAAGTAATGTCCATCTTCTCAAAATTCCGACCAGATAGTTTATTCGGTGCCATAATTGCCTCTTGAAAGTATCTGAAAGTAAAAATTCGAAAATATTTTTCTCGTCCATTAACAGATAGCCTAGGTCCTATGTATGGGCCTTTTAAGGAATGCATACACAATAACAATGAGGAATAAATTATGTCCTAGTGCACTCCCCAAATTACTACCGGGAGGATTCCCATCTCCAATTTTTACATCTCTTCCTGCGCCATACAAAAATCGACCCAATGACTGAACTTATGCTAAAATACTGAGCCAACAGCTTGCTTTTGCTTGGTTGTGAATCCAAGGGGCTTTAGTAGTGGAATAACCCTTCTATGGATATTACCAACAGAATCAATCATACATCCATACTGGTACATACACATAACATCTACATGCATGTATACAAA